ATTTTCCCTTTTTATATTGAATGAATGTGTCTTTGCTTAATGTTCAATTTCCATTGATACAAATGTTTAATTCATAACATAAAAGGGGAGATTAGGGGAAGTAGAATCCCTAACTACGCTTTTTTTGATTGCTTGAATATTTGACTTTGCGTTTTGTTCTGGCTTTATTATAATTATTAATTAATTTTTATCAAATATCTTATTCGAATTGTCTCACTTAAGTAAAAATAGTGAACTAGTGCTTGAAAATCTAATCTTCGTGGGAACAATACTGTTACGTATACACTTTATTACTGATATGACCGATGCACTTGCCTTGTTCACAACAACCTCATGCTAACATTAAGGACAAAGGAATCATTGAAATCGGGCAGAGTTCAATTCATTGTTGCAGACTTCCCCTCCCTATATAATATAATAATTGGCCAACCTGGTATACACAAATGGGATAAATATCCACCAAGCATCAATCGTTGAAGATGGTGAGCTCGAAGAACGAGTTTGTAATCATAAAGGGAGATCAGAAGCAGTCTAGTGAATGTTATTATGAAACCATGAAGATAAATGAAGGTGACCTGTCCTCCCCATCCAAGGTTTGACCTAGGGAAAAGATCCCGAAAAAAGAAAATGACTGTTCGAGAAGGTGGTAAACATGGTTAAGCAAGAAGTAAGGGAGGATAATTATATGTCAAGGCCAGAGCCAAACAGCGAGTTGGTAGAGTTGGTTCTAGGGGATGAACCCAGACAAAACACGAAGATAGGGAGGGCTTTAGAGCCTAACTTGAAATGTTATATAGCTGCCTTCCTTGAAGAAAATAATGATGTATTTGGTTGGAGATAAAAAAAAATTGGGGATTAACCTCAGCTTTTGTTGTCATAAGCTTGCCATCTACCTAGATACCACCCCAATGTCACAGAAGAAAATGAAGCTCGGACCCGAAAGACAACAGGCCCTAGAAGAACACGTTAAAGAGCTGTTGGAGGTTGACTTCATTAGAGAAATTCAATATACAATCTAGCTCTTTAACGTGGTGAAGGTGAAGAAGCCAAGCAGAAAATGATAAGTCTGTGCTAACTGAATGATGTCCTCAACAAAGTGTGTCCCATAGATTCGTACCCCATGCCCAACATAGATCAGTTGGTAGATAACTCTGGTTTTCGACTTTTATCCTTTATGGATACATATTACGGGTACAACTAGATCCCCATGCACTCCGCGAATCAAGAAAAGATTATCTTCATCACGGAGAGGGCCAATTATTGTTATAACTTCATGCCTTTTGGGTTAATGGATACCGGGGCGATGTATCAGAGAATGATGAACCACATTTTCGAAGCCTAGATTGGCAAAAACGTTGAGGTTTATATAGATGACATGATATTCTAGTCGGCTAAGCTGGCAGATCATGTGGATGACTTAGCACAAACATTTGCATAACTCTGAGCTGACCACATTCTCCTTAATCCGGCCAAGTGCGCATGCGGAGTTCCTGCAGGAAAGTTTCTAGGCTTCATACTCACCAATAGAGGAATTTAGGTCAACCCAGACAAGTGTAGGCGATCCTGGATATGAAGGATCACAGAAATGAGAATAAAGTTTAGCAGTTGATAGGGCGTTTGGCTGCTCTCACCAAGTTCTTGCCAAACTCAGCAGAAAAAGCACTACCATTTTTTAAGTTATTGAAGAAAAAGGCAGAGCATGGATAGAGTAGAGAATGCGAGGAAATATTTGACAAAATAAAGAAATGTTTAGCAACCCCACCCATCTTGTCTAAGCCAGAACCCAGAGAAACATTGGTGCTATATTTATCAATGGGAGAAAAGGCAGTAAGCACAACCCTAGTGCGTGAGACTGAAAAAGGGCAAGCCTCAATATATTTTGTCAGCTGAGCACTTCAGGGACCCGAATTAAGATACCAGAAGCTAGATAAGGTTGCATTCACACTCCTCACCGTGACTAAAAGACTACGCCCCTATTTCTAGGGGCACCATGTCATAGTTAGAAATAACCAGCCCATCAAGCAATTTCTACATAAGCTTGACTTAGCAGGGAGAATGATAAGTTAGGCAATAGGACTCTCTGAGTTTGATCTTACATATGAATCTCGACATGACATCTTGTCACAAGCCTTGGCTGATTCTGTAAGGAAGATAACCCCAGCCAAAGAAGGAGACCCAAAACTGATAGACATGTGGACGGTCTATGTGGACGACTACTCAAATGCGAGAAGAAGTGAAGCCAAGATTATTGTCAAAAGCTTGGAGGTAGTCTTAATTGAACACTTCCTCCTCTTGGGTTTCCCTACCTCCAACAATCAGGCCGAGTATGAGGCCTTCATTGCTGGGATGCTTCAGGCAAGGGAACATGGAGCTAAAAAGATAAAAGTGTTCAGCGACTCCCAGCTCATCACATCCTAAGTTGAAAGGAAATATCAAGCTAAGGGGCCTTTAATAGCTAAGTACTTGAGCTAAGTGAGAGAATTGCTGATCGAGTTTGCAGAAGTAGTGATCACTTACATTCTCGGGAATGAGAATAGGATGGCAGACATCCTCTCCAAATTGGCCAGTACCAAGAATATGGGCATTCACAAAATGGTCGTGCAGAGAGCAATCCTAAGTCGACGTGCAAAGGCATAACCATCAGAATGGGACGTCGAAGGCCAATGGCCGTTATACGGCACAAACTTGATAGCCCAGCTAACAAGCATGGGTTGAGGGTAACGGGCTAGGAAAAAATCACAAGAGTGCAAGCGAAGCAAGGAAAGCCAGAAGACCACTACTCCCGTTCAGCTCAGACAGGGTGGCTCACGACCTCAGACAAGGCGGTCTAGAGAAAAAACAGCCACTCCAAATCCAAACCTCTGCAAAGAAGGTCGGAGAAGGAAACACTGGATTAACAACTCACAATCTGGCATTGAAAACCAATAATCGAGTCAGAACTCAGATAGCGCCATACTAGTGAGAAGCCATTCAGCACAGACTCGAACATAGCTGGGATGCCAAATGAACAGTTTAAGCTAGCCACAGAGCAAAATATGATCTTCGTAGAACGAATTCGAACACAATAGAAGGTGCAAGGAAAGAGTTCAAAACAAGGCACCTCAAACACGGCACAAATGTAGCAAAAGAACTGCAGCCCGGCAGCCGGACACCCAAACTACCGGACTGAGGGAAAACTGTGGCCCTAGAGCCCAATAAGGGTAAACAACTAAGAGAGAAATATGAAAGAACCTCAAAGAGATATCAATCTTATCATATCTTCAGTGGATCAAGCATTAGGCCCTAATATTCCCAAGAGGTCCACAATTTCTCTACTACTAGCTAAACTCTCTATAAATAGGAGGCTATGCCTATAAGTACTCGCTTTTGAACTTTCTCTCTCTTGGTTGTTATTGTGCACACACCTCACGCCTTGGCTACGCCATCTATTACAATGCACATTGATATGCTATCCTCTAGGGCATCTCCTCCATAGATACCTGAGAGAGAACGTTAATCCTACAGGCTACAACAATATATCAATCTCTGATTGGACATCTCCAATCCACTAAGATCGAACAACTTCTTATTCTTACATAATGTAAGAATATCTTGCCCCATTTAAATATAGATGAACTCAAACACAGATTTTGCATCATGCTTATGTCATGTCAGCATATGTAATCAAGAATTATCGCCCTAAATAGAAGTGGATCAATGATCTACATTAAATATATGATTTCTTATTCTTATATCATTAAAAGAAAAGAAAATATACTCTCTTGTTGTTGGATCTCTCCTACACATACATCGTACATGTATTGCTTCTTTTTCTTTGTTTATGAGTAGGTGATTCTCAAACATGATTACATCTATAGCATGAGAGAGTTTCTATCTTATTGTAAGAGATTAATAAGGCCCTTAAGGGGCTGTTTGGTATGAGGATTCTTTTTGAAATCCTGAGAAAGTGGGATGAGACAAAAAAAAATTCCATGTTCGGTAGGAGGAAACATAAAAATATTCCCAAGAAATTTTTTTCACATCGTTCCATTTTACACTACACATTTCAAAACTAAAATACCATCTCACCTATGGTATTTTTTTCCCACGCTAGAAGAAAAGATCCACAATTTCCTCAGACAAAAATGCCTATGAACTAGGTTATGAGTTGTGTGAAAAAAATGTCTTGCATCACAGAAACATATCGTTGCTCTTTCCAAATTGATTTGTTCTTCAGCAACTCCCTCTCCACTTGTAAGTGTTGGAAAGTGCCAAAACGAAGTTGTGGGATCTGCTGATATTTCAGACCTTTCAATAGAACGAGGAGGGCATTTTGTGGAGTACCTAATGATGATATTGTTCCTATAACAAGTACCAGTGGTTTTTCTTCAACCTTTTTAGAAGAACTAGTGCTAAATTTCCTATGATTTGCTTGGAACTTACTATAGCTGGGAGGAGAGGGAGTTGGAGAAAAGTTTTCAGTTGTATCAATGCGTTGTGACATAGATGGCGAAGAGAATGAGAATTGGGACATGGTCTTCTCAGTAAAAGCATATAGCTCTGGCGTTGCATTAGTTGAAGTGTATAGGGAAGATTCAATTGGTGCTTCAAGTTCAATGAATTTTCTCAGAGTTGTTCCTGTATTTTTAAGTGGCTGGACATACATAAGCAACTGCTAGTGTGTAACGCCCATCAAGTGCTTACGTAACAAATTTCTTCCTTTCACGGCAAAAGAGATTCAATATTTAAAGATGGATAATTTTGTGATTTTGGCCAGATTCCCAACAATATTTTTCACTTTACCAAATATAATATTAAAAAAATTAACTCAATATTTCATAGAAAAATTTGCCGTAGCAAATATTTTTTTAATAACATTCTCGGGAAATTTTTTTTTTTTACCATATTCCCAAAAAATATAATTTTCGAATAAAAAAAATTCTGTTTTAAGAAACGCCCGCTAAAAAGAATATGTATGTTCCCATGAAATGTTTCAAGTGGTGACACAATATTACAAAAGATAACGTCACGTATATGAAGTGAAAAATGAAAAGATCTGAGCGTTAGAGTAGTAGGGATTTGATCTTCGCCGGAATCCAATAGATCTGAGCTACCACCACCGGAGTCCGATCCAACAGATCCCCCGTGGATCGGATTCTTTCATATCGCTGGACCTTTTTTCCTTTTATCACAAACCCATTCATTCATTTTAGCTTCTCAATAAGAGCTTCTGGTTCCTTTTTGCTTTGGATTCGAGGTAAAGTTTCGATTTTTCCTCCACCCCTCGTGTCATTTCGTCGTTTTGGAAGTGGGTTTTCTGTTCAAATTCGAAATCATAATCTCAAGGTGCCGTTGATTGATGGGGGTGGTGGTGGTGGTGGTGCTGTTGTTATGTGTAAATTCTCGTGCTTTGATAACTTGTTCATGTTATTGATTAGTTTCAGGTTTGATTTGAATTTGAAGGAGGGAATAGTTCATCTGCTGTATCAACCAACAAATCTTGCTCCACACCCAAATATGGGAAGCCAAGACAACAACAACGGTTCTTCTTCTCTTTATTATTCATGTCTTCCCTATGTTTCATTGCTTAGAAAATTAGTCATTGAGGCTCTTTCAGATCCCAACTTGAATTGAATCTCTTAATTCTTTGATGAGTAATGCTACACACCCAGAAAAATTTGACTCAATATAACCAGAATTTGATCAGGGTGGTTGTTTGATAAGTCATAGTGGTCTAAGAGTCAGTAACAATAACAATGTCAACTCATTCTGGCAAATATTCTAACCAAAAAAGAAAATTTTCCATCTTGGATTTTGAATATCTGAATTGCTGATTTTATATTATTTTATTTATTTCTTTTTGTGTGTGTGTCTGTGTGTTTGCAGCGGCATTGTCATCTAATTCATTTCTGGCTGACAAATCTGCTAAGGTTTTTGTTGCTGGTCACCGGGGTCTTGTTGGCTCAGCCATTGTTCGCAAGCTGACCCAACTTGGGTTCACTAATCTAATCTTGTGTTCTCATGCTGAGCTTGATCTCACTCGCCAATCTGATGTTGAAGCCTTCTTTGCCTCTGAAAAGCCTGAATTTGTCATTGTAGCTGCAGCCAAAGTTGGTGGCATCCATGCCAACAACACCTACCCTGCTGATTTCATTTCCATCAACCTCCAGATCCAGACCAATGTCATCGATTCTGCTTATCGCCATGGTGCTAAGAAGCTATTGTTTTTGGGTTCCTCTTGCATTTACCCCAAGTTTGCACCCCAACCTATCCCAGAAGATGCTTTGCTTACTGGCCCCTTAGAGCCCACAAATGAATGGTATGCAATCGCCAAGATTGCTGGGATCAAAATGTGCCAGGCTTATAGGATTCAGTATAAATGGGATGCAATTTCAGGAATGCCAACCAACTTATATGGACCAAATGACAATTTTCATCCTGAAAATTCGCATGTTTTACCTGCTTTGATGAGAAGGTTTCATGAGGCAAAGGTCAAATGTGCCAAGGAGGTGGTGGTGTGGGGTACAGGGAGTCCATTGAGGGAGTTTTTGCACGTTGAGGATTTGGCAGACGCGGTTGTCTTCATGATGGAGAAGTACAGTGGATTGGAGCATTTGAATGTAGGGAGTGGAAAGGAGGTTACTATTAAGGAATTGGCTGAGTTGATGAAGGAAGTGGTGGGATTTGAAGGGGATCTTGTTTGGGATACTACTAAGCCTGATGGGACTCCAAGAAAGCTGATGGATAGCTCCAAACTTGCAGGTTTGGGTTGGACACCAAAAATCTCACTCAAGGATGGGCTTGTTGACACCTACAAATGGTACTTGGAGAAGGTCAATCTGTGATTCACCTGGTTAAGCAGAATGTACCATATGAAATTTATAGGTACTTGTCATTTCACTATGAAGATTTTTATTTTTATTTTTTTTTAAATAATTATCCAAAGAACACTATACGACCAATTTTGGTAATGTGTACCAATTATGTTGAATGAAGATTTCAGTGCTATTTTGGTTTTTTGTAGAGATCATGAGATTGAAGAGCCATTGTTAAAAGTATGAACAGAAACTTGTGTCATTTCATGATCTTACGGGTGTTGTTTCAAATATGTATTTCCATAAGCAGTTTTGTTTGGTGTTCTCTCTCTCACTCTCTCGGTTATTTAATTTTGGTTATCATAATTAGTGCATGATGATTATTCAACGCAAATGGTAGTGCCCCTTCAACTTTCAGGGCTTCAACAGCTTCTTGATTGCCAAGAATATGTTTGGAATTTTTCATTTCGATAAAATCTGTAGTGTAAATCTTCTTGTGGATGAGCATATTCAGCCATGCAATCTAATATGATATCTAGTCACAGCAGACAATCCAATTTTGGAATCTTTTGATCTTCTGTGTTCCCAAATAATTCTCTGCTGTTTCAAACTGTTTATAGTTATACCTTCAAAAATATTTGTTAAAGGTTTTTTTACACATGGCCATAGCCAGGTAGATTTTACTTCATGCCTCTTTTGAGCCGTAAGTCTTTATAAAATGATTATTAGGAGTAACTTTTGTCCAACATTTACACACTTTCATTCCTATTAGGGTGGTTGGTTTGCTATATTCCCATGGCATGAGAATATTACACATCATAGGAGAGAGAAAAACATTTGGCAGAGAAAAAAAAACTTTAGCTGACATGTAATATTTCTATTGGTGGGATGTACTGAATCCAAAGATTCATTCTAGGCCGTCACCATTGACCGAGCGTTTCTTTTGTAGTCTGAGAGCACGGTGCACCCTGCTAAAGAGGGAAAATAAAAGGGGATTGAGAGAAAAATATAAAGAAAGAGAAGGGTTTACAAGTAATTTTTTTTAACAGAAAAGAAAAAGGAACACCAAAAAATTTGGTAGTCCCGAACATTTTAAAATTTTCCCCATTGACCACCACCAGCCACCAGCAAGTGGAGTCATTGTCAATAATGTTTCTGGTCAACAAACATGGGAGTCATTATTCTTAACAATATAATGCATGGAAATATCACTCAAGGCATTCTATTTCTGAAAAATATATTTTTTCAGAACTTGAATTAAATATCATATGATTTTGTTAGTGATCACTTTTGTTGATTTCTGCGCAGTGGTTAAAAGTTAGAATTTTGGAGCCACAATATGATGGGTACTTTGAGTCATTTTCTTTGACTTGATGCTTGTTTTCCACTTTCATTTTCTGCTAATTGGACGTTTAAGTAGCTTCATCAACACCTTTTGCCCGTTACCATGCAAAGCCAATTTGGACATTATAGAGAAGCTACGATTAACTTCATGACTCAAAAGTCAAGTAACTAAAATGTTTTTGAGTTGAACGGTAAAGATTTATCGGCAGGGTAGAATGGTGAAACAGTTGTTTTTACTCTTTAAAACTTAGATTGGTTTTTATTATAATATTGAACCCGTTTAAATTTTTACTTGGGTTGTTAAAGTTATGTAAGATAAAATTTGACATATCTTAGCTGAATCAAATAGACTATGGCTTAGGATACCAAAAAAAATAGACTATGGCTTTACCTAAAAAAATAAATAATAATTTTAATGGAAGGGACGTGAGGAAAGTTTTGGTCCATGAGCAAGGAAGCAAGGAAGCATGGACACTTGTAAAATCAGGGAGAGTCGTGTCCGACACGCTCCGACACGATGCCGGACACGCGGTCAACTTTTTCCAACACGCGAATTTGACCGGCATTTTCGTAATTTTTTTTAAATTTTTTTTAAATTTTTTTTTAAAATTTTTTTTTTAAAAAAAATTAAAATATATTAATAAAGATTCCACCTGATCATATCAATTTTATTTTTTTGACTTTTTTCCCCTTAAGTAGATAAGAGATCATCTCAGCATCATTGTTGTCAATTCCTATCACGCTCTTGTTATATCTCTGTCTCTGATGTCTCTCTCTAATATGATTTGATCTCTCTATCTGATATTATATCTCTCTCATCCCACTTCTTATTTTTTTTATTAAAGCTTCCATCTTTATAACGTGTTGATGGGTATTATTAATTTAATTTCATTTTTTTGTTAAATTATTAAATATTAAATAAAATATACACTATATAAATTAAAAATATTATTTAATATTAAAACGTGTCCCAACGTGTCGAAATTCATAATTTTTTAAGATTGACGTGTCGAAGTATCGTGTCATGTCACGTGTCGTATCGGTGCTTCATAGCCATGAGAATTGATTTGGTAAAACCTTAGTATTGGATTTTACGTAAGCTAGTTGGCCACTTTAAGGGTTGATTATATAAAGACAAGTGAGTTTTTAAAACCAACCAAACTATGACGGTTGTTGAACAATGTCAGTAGTTCAAGATTTACACTGGAGACAGTCACTTATCAATCATTCTAAAATCTAATGCACAAAAGTTTTAATATTACGTATTAACAACAATTAGTGTAGGATATTAACTAAAAGGTAGGAAAGAATAGAACATGCCATGAAACCTGATGAATGACTGTCTGAAATTTAGGAGATTAACATCTTTTGGAAGCCTGAATGTTGCTCCAAATTCCAGAGACTTTTTTAGCCTTCGGAATGATGTGCATTCCAGGTTAAAAATGTATAGTTTATATACCTATCTCTTCTACTTGCATGATATATCAAGCAACCCTCAATTACAAAGCAACAATTTGCTCAAATAGTAATAAATTGCCTTTTCTTTTTCCTTGATTGAAAAAAATAAATAAGGTCTTGCAAATCATACAGGCCAGAGATCATAAAGCAAATGTAAAACTGCAAGTTGCAACCAAAAACATCCATGGTGGCCATGAAGAAGCAGGATGCTGCTGCACACCTACAAAACAAAGGAGCACACGATCAATATGCCGGAAAGCGCAGTTTAAAATGTCAATCAATAGTGGTCTGTTATGAATGTGAAGCACTAGAATGCAAAGACTAAGGGCATTCAACCCTTCCAACAATCCATCAGCTCACGTCCGGAAACATTTATTGTTGATGTTTTCTGGAACTAAGGCTCAGGGAAACTAACCTAGTATGTTGTATTCCCATCAGTTTCCAAAAATTATCTACTTACTGAATCATTGTACTTTACTATGTACTTTGATATCAGGATATTACATTTCCAAATGGTAGAACCACCAACGACTCTTCTAATATTTTGTTACAATCTATGGACTCACAAAGCAAAAATGCAAGGGTAAGACTCCATCCAATCAACCCTCAAAAGTCCAGGAGCCTTGTGAAATGGGGTTTGGCTTTTATGTAGACTCACAAAAGCAAATATGCAAGGGTATGACTACATACAAGAATTGCCCTCATCCCTATCCTCACTAGTCAGGGTTTAATGGGGAGTTTTTTTTCTTATTATTATTATTTTATGTGCACTCATAAAAAGAAAGAATTGATTATATCTACACCGTTGCTTAGCTGCTTTCATGCTGCAGAGACTTTACCACAGCACATATTGGTCTGTTCAAACAGGGTGAAATTGCCATGATTTATTTTTTGTTGTGACGTTGAAGGACAGAGATGCAATATTGTTCTTCAATGCTATCCTTTCACTTTGTGCAAATAAATTTAAATTGAGTGCATGTCAACCCAAAATTTATATGCTCCCCTATCCCAGCCCCTTCTAATCAACTATAAAACTTTCAGCACACTTTCTCAGAAACACTATCAAACTTCAAGAAGGTTGAAATGAAAAGCACCATAACCAAACTCAACCTACCAGATTAGTTGCTTTGTACAATTATATAGCTTTTAAATCATATGTTGAAAGCTTTTTCTCCAGAGAATGTTGACAACAGTCAAATTAGATACAAAGCAATTAAGAATAAGCTAAGCATCTTGACATTCTTTACCATGTCTCATTTTTTAAAATGTGATTAATTACATGTCATAATCTCATTCTACAAGTATGACACAGCAGGTAAGGGAACAGCAAACAATATAAAAGAGAACATGTAATCCATGTTAACCTTTTAAGTCCAAGGGTTATTAGTAGTATAATATAAACAAATACCGGCATCAATAATTCCTGAAACCCCTCTCCCAGGTAGACTATGCATTAACTCTTCAACTCTACGGGGGAGAAGTCACATCACATGCCTAATTATGCCAAACACATTTCTGGACCTCAACATAAAACCCACCAGTCACATGTTACAAAAATACCGTGGAACTGGAATCACAATTGAATTGATACATAAAACCCATCATTCTCAAAGTATGACACAAATACAACCAATAAGAAAATAGGTTATAGCATTCCCAAGTTAGAAATAAATTTGAGTTACCTGATACAAAACACATAGATCTAAGTAGAAAGAAATAAACCATACATCTCCAAAAACTAAAGCCTCAAGCTTTTCCATTAGATAGTAAATGTGGCACACAAAAAGGTTTGTCACTAATGACACTAAGATAGTATTCAGAGATTGGGATAAACTCACCTTTCAGAAATTTTATGCATGAAATCAAATTTTGTCTGCTTAAGAATCCTCCTTCAATTCGTCAGAATCAGAATCACTCGCATTATAACCTAACAAAAATACGCCAAACCAAAAATAGTCAGACTAAATTACAAAGGATACGAAAGATGATATGCTGCTAGAAACAAGGGAGGGTTCACCTGGACGCTTATCACCGACTTTCCAAACTGAAGACCTAATCCTTGATGCTTTAGTCAGCCAAATTCTTCCCTTCACATCCAAACCAATAACATCAGCCTTGGAAACCAAAAGAAAAAGAAAAAGAAAAAACAAGTACATCCACACTTCACATATTGTTCATAATCATACCCCATATTTACACCAACGCTCTTTATATTCAATTAAGAGTTCATAGAATCCATATATTTTACGCTAGAAACTATATACATCCATTTTTGCTATTATTTCTGTGTATGATACATTAAAATAACGAATTTGAAAACACAGAACATTAAGTTTTAACATCAATTTTTTTTTTTAAAAAAAACTGACCTTATAATTGCAAATTAAAAACTTTTCAAGTCATTACATCCACCCATGGTAGAACTTTTATATTGTTATTTGTTACGACCCATAACTGATATTAGGGGCTCAACAGTAAGTTTACGTAGGCAAGGGTGCAGGGGATTACTTACCCTAAGGCTGACTCATCAATTGGAGGGAAAGCTTGTTAGTGAATTCAGTTAAATAGGCAGCAGCGTGGAAAGAGTGGGGGATCTTTTTGGGCAAATGGAACTTGGACCTTTGGGAGAGATCAGGGGCTCTCCAACTCCTCTGAATCTATCTTTCTAATTTCCTTATTCTTGTATTTCCATTCAGTTCTGTAATTAGGAAAAGTATTGGAGTAATACTGCCATGGATTTCTCATGTAATTGTTACTGTTGATCTTTCTGGATTTAATACAATTGTCTCTGTTTTAGATTTATTCTGGAAATCTTGTTCTAGACTGTTACATTATTCTAGATATATGTACACAGGAATGTGCATTTAAATTCATGTAAAATGAGTATATTTTAGTGCAGACACACATACATATATACATGTATTAGGATCATAGAAAGGACTTAATGTTTTCTTCATTTTTTTTATAGCCGCCAACATTTTTTTTATGATAGAAATTTTTATATTGCTATTCTAGAGAATCTAGTCATATCATATGTAGTCAGGCATGTAAGCATGCAATTAAATGCAAATAAATGAGTATATTTTAGAGTAGATACGCATAAATATATACATGCATTAGGACCATAGAAAGGACTTAATGTTTTCTCCAATTTGTTTATAGTGGCCAACTTATTCTCCTTTTTTTTTTTTGGCCAAGCAACATTGACCTTTTCAAGCACTTGAGCACCCCAATATCAAACACCCTAACAAACAAGCCCCAATCTAATGAAAGTTCATAGAAGAAGAAAGAATTAAAACACCAAGGAAACAAACAACCCCACCTTCTGTGCATCTCTTGGAACACCATAGCCACTGTAATACATCTGACCCACCAACACCTGCATGTTGATGTCCCCTGCTTTAGCCTCCTTGAGAGTGTCCTTGAACCACCGTTTCACACAATCTGCCACCACCCCTGACAGTGGTACACGGCCATTGCTCTCTCTCCCACTGCTACTCTCCATGTATCCCTTCCAACCACTTCAACTTCAATTTCAGGAAGTGGGGTTTTCTTCTTATTTGGTATCCTGAGAGAAAAAAAAAAAACAAAAGGGTTTTCTGGCGGCACATAAAAAGGGGTGAATTTCCCATAAATTTTTAATTTTTTCAAAAATACAAAATCATGGGTATCTTTCAGATTGAAAGAAAAATACTAAAAGAGACACAAGAATTGCAATTTGGGTTGCAAAGTTGTTACCTTTTTTCTGCTTTTGAGAGCTCTGTTTGATGCTATCTGAAGATCATGGTTTGATTTGAATAGAGAATTAAGAAGGATTTTTTTAATTATTTATTTTTGGCAAAGAGTGAGAGAGAAGAAAGAAGCAGCTTATCAGAAAATACCAGGCGGCGTAGGGAACAGTTGTTTCTCTAACAACGTTGTTTCTACCTGTCCTTCATATTTTATAATTTTATATGCTTTAGCATACAATTCAGAATTCAATATTTTTTTTTTTTTGTATAGCCAATATTATATATATATATATATATTTTGATGTAAGAAAATAAGTTAAATAACATTATCCTATTGGTTTATTTAGCATTATGTAAATCTTAGTTTATTTTAAAAAACAAATAAAGATCTTTGGTTAATAAACTATATTTTAATATTTTTGTTTAAAGTTTAATATTTTTAAAAGGGAAATATATCGATTGTGTAATAGGAAAAAAAATATTTTCCTGCGAAACATAATATTTCATGGGTCTCATGTATTGTTTATTTCTCTCTCCTTGCATTGTTTTTTATTTTTTTTAAATGTTGTCTATGTAGGAAAATAATTTTTTTTTCTTGTTACATAACCGATACAATGATACATTCCCTTTTTTAAAATATATTATTTGAATTGAAGTTTTTTTATTATTCTAAACGTTTCTTGATTCTAATTGCCACTGGTTGCAGTAGCCTATTGCGACTTTTTAGTTTTGTTATTTTAATATTGTATATAATAACATTATGATGGAATTTCAAATGTTATTTCATGTGAGAAATATTTTTTGAAATACATAGATAATAAAAAATAAGGTTATAAAAAATTATATATTATTTAAGTTTTAATTTATTATAACATTACATCTTATTTTTTATATGTTTTAAAATATTTAATTTACATATTTACTATATATGAAAAATATGGACCGATATAAGTTAATCATAAAAAGGTATTTATGAATAATAAATAATCTATTTTCTCCAAAAAAATTCATTTCTTTCTCGCAATCTTGTCTTTCTCCTCGTGTTTCTATCTGCCTTTTAAGTTTATTATACTCACATCCACCAAAAAAAAAAAAGTTTATTATACTCATGTATACAGGGAAAATTTAAATAAAAAAAAGTCTCGTGAGGGAGAAAAAAACCAATAATTTAAAATTATTACGCCTACCCATTATGTTCGTTTCATATAATTTTATTTTATTTTTGTAAAAATAAAAAGATGTTTATAAGGGACCTAAACTTATATAAAGATGATTCCACCCATTCTAAAGTAGTTTTCAGATGCTCTACATGCATGTATTTCCAAGGTGCTCGTTTTTCCAATTATGAAGAGTGGCTAAGCGATCCTACCCACTTCTTCGTCGTGATAAAAATTGAATTTAACTTGATGGTAGGAGCATTTTTGTTCATAAAGTTTTTATAAGTCAGAAATGTAACACTCCAAATTTTTATTCTTAATTTAATTTTAAAAAATTAATGAAATATGTCATTAAATAAAAAATATTATTACGAATTACACGATATCTATGATGCCAAGTTAAAAATAAAAAATTTAACTTGCTGTTCTGATCAGATGCCAAGTCACTTGATGTAAGAATTTGTCAAATTAAAGAATTATAATCATACAAAGGTGAATTAATGGTGATAAAAGAAAAGAAAAAAATATGATATCTACTTTCGATTAATTAAATAAGGAAAATAAATATTTAAATATCCAAAATGATATAGTTTTGAGTGACAAAACGGTCAAGAGACATGACAAATAATTAATATTATATATATATATATATATATATATATATATATATATATATATGAGGAATGATCCGTTTACAAATTTTTGCGAATTACACTATGTACTTATGAAAATACATATTGTAATTTGTAAACAAAAAATTAGTAAATATAACCCTCTCATATATATATATATATATATATATATATAGTTGTAATTAGAATATAAACTCATCATATGTGTAGGTTGGATTTTAATAATGAGAAATGGAAATGTTCCACCGTTGTATTTTATTACCTAGTTGTTGATCTATTACTCCTATAATAACTAGGGTTTTATAAGACATACTTTGACATCTATCACTTGATCATAATAGAAAAGCGAATTGAAATACTAGCGTAATATTGAGGACAAATATGTAAAAATGATCTTAAATTTGATATCACGTAAGCCATAGTCTAGAAACTTAGCTCAATATAGCGAATTAGATCATTTGTGAGTACTTAGAATATTATTATTTATTCAATAATTGTTGCGACTTCTTTCAATAGAAAGGACGGTACGTGCATATGAAGTAAGAAAAAAAGAAAAAAGAAGTTCAAATTCAATACAAATAGGTAGTTGTCTCGCACATCTATTGGCAGTCAGTATTGTAAAAGAAAGAGACAAGAACAACAGGAACAGAATCTCCTTACATTCTCTAGCATGTGGGATATCATGAAGTTATTGAATATATGCTCAGACCCTAATCAGTACCACACTGACATAAGTTGACATTGAGGTCCGACCCCTACTATCATAAGGACCACCACTTCATGTTTAATTTTTCATATGCTTGTGCTCCTTTTCGCCCTCATGATAATTTGCATACTACTTTACTAGTTAATTAATTAATTTTCAATGGTAAGCTACCCCTAGTTAATTTGATAACAACATTAGGACACTTAATAATATGTATTTGGATAAGGCAACAATGGTCAAGATAAATTTCCAGGACCTGGTAGCGGGTAGGGGTAGCTAATGTACACAGCAACCAAAGCGACATGGGTTTGCGAATCTTTATTATCTATTTTAATTTTTAATTTCCACTACCAAGTTCTTAATTTTTCTTGCAACTATATACAATAACTAGAAACAAATACTGATAAGTGACCACGGGTAATGACAGAAACTGTACATTCAAAAAAAAATTCTCCCGTGTATTATATATATACTATTGTATTAGACACAAGTAGATGAGCTACATTATATATGAGACAATTATCATAAAACCACTACATTACAGAATTTCAAAATTGGGTATTCATGACTAATAATCAAAAAACTATGACAATCACAACCAAATATACACATTCTTATATAAAAAGAAAATAAGTGTTGATGATAGGTTGGTTGGTCTGGATTGATAAAGCACTTGCACACCGAGCCTGACTGACTGAAGTGAGTTTCACCTCCGAAAAAGGCCCTTGATTGATGCTACACTGCATGTTTGTTCCAATGCCCATGCATGTGTGTGCGAATTGAGAGGTCTCAGGAAGGGACATATGTTGTCCACAGTATCATATATGAACATATAGAGTAGGATAAAGAATCTTGGGTATCACGAAGATTTCCTATCCACTATAGGGCAGAAAGACTTTTTAGTTTTTACACCTGATCCAAGGCAAGAACCACAATAGAAAAACATCCACCAGCACTGAGAACAGTATTTCCATTCAGTAGTAAATTTAAGAATCACTCCAGCTATCTGCATCATCATCTTCATCACTTCCAGCCAATGCCTATTTCAATAATTGACATTAGTTTAGTTTAACCTGAAGAGAAATGGTGGTTCTGACAGGCAGAAAGGGGGGAGGGGGGAAGCAAACGCCTACAATAAATATACTACATGAAAAGTGATGGACCTGGCGAATTGCATTTGCTTTCTCCAAGATGGCAGCAACCCTCAAGTTTGTTTTTGGACCCTGAACTCTGGGTCGTGCCACCACAGCAGGCTTCAAGTTGAAGGACTGATAAAAGAACATATTTTTAAATTTCTAATTACAAGATTGTTTTAATACAAAAGGGTACGGTCATCATGAAGAACAAGATAAAAGTTGCTAGCTCTAACCTTCGTTCTTATCTGTTCTAACAATGAATCTCTTTCATCTACCTTGGGTTCTATCTGCGGCCAAACACGTTCGGTGACCTTCCTCAGCTACAGTGGTTCAAAGGCAGTGTGTTATGCAAGAATTGAGACCACATAAAGAGTACATTCTATGAGAACAAGAAAACTGTCATTACCTTGCTTTTGTCGAGAGCAGCAACAACATCAATTAAAGGATTCCGGGGTCGAGGAAGCTTATTCTTCAGTTTTCCATTTGGCATTTCATTATCAAACTCTGATGTTTGAACAGATGTATCCAATGACGATGCCATTTCCTCCTCTGAAGACAGCCGGCTGGGATTGGGCTGCACAATTTCTGTACTTGGTGGTGACACGGGTGAGATTGAAGGATCTCCTTGATCCCTTCCCAGATTAACCAAAGACTGCTCAAGTGTTATAACTCCTAAACTACTCTCTTCCATTAATTGACTTGGAGATTGAGTGGGTTTTTCTTTTGGAGAAATGGAATCATCTCCAGGAACAGGACAATCAGCTGGTAACACCAAATGCAATTCTCCAGGTCTACCCTGCTTAACTTCTAAACTAGGAACTTCAATTAATTGATTTGGAGATTGAGTGGGTTTTTCTTCTTGAAAGATGGGATCAGCTCCAGAAACAGCACATTCAGCTGGTAGTATTGGTGGGCATTGAATTGAATTGAATACCATTTCTCCTTCTGAAGCAACAAGATATCCATGAGGAGGCTTGCCCGAAGATAAAACAGGTAATGTTAAGAAAGAGTTCTGGATTTGGCTTCTCTCCAGAAATAGGTAATTATATTGACTATTTGCTTCATTTATCATGATAGGAAATTGCAAAGGAATAGCAACAGGATGCTGCGAAAGACCTGCTGAAAACCCAGAAGAATTTTGGGGCTTATTACTTTCCACAGCCATGACAGGCAAAAATGGATTCCGAGTCAGCAAGGTCTCTCTTTCAGAAGTTGATGGACCAAATTGAAGCTTTTCATCAGGTATGACAGGCTGTATTGGTTGCAAAAAGGCTTGACTTACTTCTATTTCTTCTCTCTGTGAAAATAGGGAAGCATGTTGAACCTTGCCCATTCTCCATTGCCTTGGCGGTAGAGGGGGCAAAGGTGGCATCTCCTCAAGATTGACTTTAGTTTCCTTGGGAAAGAGGTCAGGAAGAAGAGGTTTTAATGGATCAATGACATGTTTTGTTGGGTCAACCTCCTCGCCAGATGACTTCAATGAGGAATCACATGATGAAGGCTCATCTGGATGGATTTCAGCAGCAAACTCAGAAGCAAAATCAGAGATTCTTTCTTGCTCCAACTGATTTGATATCTGCATCCGTTGAGGTTGAAATTTCTCAGAGGTATAATTTTCTTCATTTCTGAGTAGAAATCCTGCATCCTGTTGACCAACTTGTGATTTTAAGAACAGATCTAAATGGGTTTCATGCTCCAGTTGGTAATAGGAAGGTGGTGAAAAACTATATTTGCTGTTCTGTAGATCATTCTGGCAAACAGATATAGATTCTGACCTCATAGAGTCTAGCTCCGAACATACCTGCACCATTTTCATGTCATTGATACAAGAACCATATTGGATTTTGTCCTTAAGAGACGAATGTTGAATATTATTACATATTCCAGAATCAAAATGATCGCTGGGAACTGATCTGTTCAGGTTTGACTCTACATCAGTAGAAGCAACTTCTGGTTGATCCACTACCTTTTGTGCCACTAATTCTGTCAAAGATTCTATAGCAACTGCCTCATTGACTTCCATCTCTTCCTCACAAGGATCTGCAAAAGCAGAAAGAGAGTCTTCCATCTTTGTAAGACTACTCATTGGAGAAGATATGATATCTGAGGATGATTCCAGTTGGATTTCCCTCTTCTCTGCATTCAAGTCTACAGAATTTTTAGTCAACTCTAACTCATTGGATTCCATTTCCATCTGATGGGAATCTGAAGAACCCAGTAAAGGTTCATGCAAATTTGAAAGATTCCTTGATGGAGAAGAAATAAAATCTGAAGTTTGACATCTAACAATACTTGCATCATTTTCAGCACAATAAATGGAAGGAGGAGCAGATACATCCTGACCTTCTGACTGAACTTTTTCAGTGAACATATCATTTATCATGACATAATTATCCTGCCTTATGTAATCAGGAGAAGATAGATGTTTAATATGATTACCATCTTCAATTGGATCCAAACTGCAGGTGGATCCACTTGTTTCATCACCAGGCATTATCCTTGGTACCTCTTCAAAATTTGATTGCTGATCAGAATACACAATTTTAACTTCGGCTGAATCTGGTTCATCCAGTGGATTTTTGTGAGTAAAACTAGAGCACAACTCCTCTGTAAAGCTACTCACTGGGGTAGTCTCTGCAAGAGGAGATAAATCTTCTGAGTTAAGTTGGGTTGCAGTAATAGCATGCTCAGATTTTAAATCTTGGCCATCAAGCAGCAGCTTAGTACCTGAATTCAAGTCTACTTCCATGGATGGGCAAATGGGATCCTCACCTTGTGAACCAACATCACCATTAACCAAAATTTCAGAAGAGTATTCATTGAGAGATTCTGCCTGCAACACTTTGATGTCAGAATGATAACCACATTCATTTTCACGAGCTAAGTTTAAATCATTAGAAACTTGTAACAGAGCATCGGAATGAACATATGGATCACAAATATCCAAGTTGTTCAAAGAATTGTTATCAAAAGAAACAACTCGGCAAGCATCGTCTTTTATTGGGGAGAGAGAATCATGCACTGCAGCTATAGGTTCAACAAGACACCTATTGTCGTCATCTCCTAATCTTAAGCGAGGTTCAACAGGGCCAGTTGGTTTTTCATCTGATTGTGTACCTGTAGGTAGGAACACTGGTGAGCTGGCTCCAAGATCTGAAGACAACAATAAACACCCTGAATCCAGACATGAACCAGAAGAGACTTGTCTAGAATCAGAAATCTCTTCTCCCTGAACTTGTGCATCATCACGCATGACAAACTCACCACAATAAGTCTTTTCCAACTCAACAGTTTGGGAAAGCAGGTTGGATGGCATATCTTTGATCTCTGATGTGCAAGTGTTTCCAATAGATTGGGAATCTGAGAACTGAGCTTGCAGTTGAATATGTTCTTCATTTCTATCTCTTCTGAATGAATTATTATCATCTGATGCACAGTAGGTTCTTGTTGACTCCGAATCTGAGAACGGAGCTTGCACTTCATTATGGTCTTCATTTCTGTCTTGCTCAAATGAACTAATTTCTTCGGATGTCAAGGAGTCCCCAAATGATGGAGAATCAGAAAATCGAGTTTGTAGTTGATGTTCTTCTTTTCCATTTGAATCAGTTACCTTTTGAATATTCACTAAGCTTTTCATAGGTTTACACTCATTGTCTGTCTCCAATTCTGACTCCATGGTAGCTAAAGCATCCACATAATCATCAGCCTCACTAATCATATCATCAGAATGGTAGCCATCTAAGCTGCATTCTATTTTCTTTGGTTCATCACCTACCAATTCTGTTTCACCAGGTACCTTGGGATGATTAGAAGACATTTCATCTGTCACACCAGCAAAGATTTGTCCATGCGCCTTCACAAGATATCCATTTGTCTCCCTATCCGTTTCTGGGTATGGTTTCAGCTCCAATTCCTGTTCATTTGGTGATAAACAAGTGTTTTCATTTCCCAAAGACCTTTTCATACGAGTAATGCTACTGATTTCAAGTATTTTAATCCCAGTTTCATTAGCATCATCTGGCATCGATTTCACAGGCAGTGGAATGACTGAAGTTTCACAAACCAATTTGTGATCACGTGAGGGAATTTCAAGAATTTTCTCCATGTAACTCTTCCCAGTCTTTGCTTCAAATGCAGATCCATTCAATTGTTTTTTCCTCAACTTCACAAGACGAGCAGGATCACTACAAGCATTCTCAATACGCTCCTCAAGAAGCAACTGATGCAGTCTACAGTAATGGAAATGGATTAATTCACCAATTAACCATTTAAAGATCATTTTGCATTTTAAAAACCAGAAGAATAAATTAATTCTCCGCAGTAAAATTATTGGAGCTTACTTGGAATGTGATGTCACAACTTTGGGGGTTTCACCATTCATCGGTCGTGCTCCTTTCTTCTGCTGGAAATAAGAAATATACATATTACATAGTAGAAATTGCAAATATTCAATTTTCTATTGCATAGAATTGTTTTCTATACAAGTAAAACAATTTTCCAGAAAAATCATGTCATTAAGTGGTTGAATTGTTGGTTCAGTACCTTGACTTTACGAATTCTCTTTTCCCTGTGAGCTTCTACCATTGCTGTTCCAGAGGAAGCAGATTCCACTTTAAAGAATGATGGATCAGTATAACGCTTGAGACATGCCCCAGCCCCAGCCACATCAAACCTTGTAGAGCAAAAAAGAAAACAAAAGTTTCAAATATCTATAACATAATAATCAATTTTTATTTGTGCTGAAATTGTTTATGTTCTATGAATCAGGTAACCGTACTTGTCCAGAAGGAACAATCTTGGGGGACCACGGCATTCTTCATATGAATCCATTATAAATCGAGGTAAGTCTCCGCGAGTAACAAGATTCTTTTGAGACTGAAGATTAGGATGCCAGTCAATCCCTGCAATGTAAGAAATATGTTAAAATATTCCAAGGGACCATTATGAACTACAGGTTGCAAATTACGAACACAAATAATATACAATAGGACTCTGTACTGATTAATTTAACCTCCATTGGTAAAAAATGATGAATGATGAGTTTGCGACAAAAAAGCTTTCTCAAGTGCTGGAACTTCAGCCTCAAGCTGTTGAACACGAGACATAAGACTGTGGCCCCTTGCAGCAGTAGCCATTACTTCTTCATGTAAGTCATGGAATACCTCAGTAGCAAACCTGACCAAAATGATACAGTTATATGCGGAGACCTTAACAGCACCTGGTAGCTTTAAAAATTATAATTTAAAAAGTTAAATGTTGATGCTGGGAACTCTATGAAACGGAACTAACTTTCTAATAATTAACTGTAGGGAAGAAAATGCCAGGATTACCACAACTCTAATGAGATACATACAATATCCTACTAGAAGCATTTTGAATTAAATTCCCAAGATTAAGCCATCTAGGCTCAGCTCATGTGGTTGATGAGGAAATTTGTGGATAGCAGATCCTAGGATTGACCCTTGAAGCCTTAATACTCACTCCGTATCCACCAAACGAAAAACCCTTACTTAGTTCAAGAGTTGTAGTCTACGCATCATTCAATCAGAATCAGACCAATCAATAAATATATGTACAAATAAAGTCACCCAACATCTACTCAACCCCAGAATTTAAAGCAATCTACGCACCAATTGCCCATATTCTTCCCTTTTTTTATCCTCCCAAAAGTCAATACATGCAAACAAAAAAGCAAATGAAGAATCAAGGGAGAAGGAATTCACAGAGAAAAGGGTGAGGCAACAAAATTAAAATCAACACGAAAATAATATTCAAATAGTAATCCCATAAATCAGTTCAACTATTCAAGTTTATGTAACAAAATTAAACAATAATCATAATAATATTGCGAAAAGAATAAGAAGAAGAAGCCCAATTCCGCCACCTAATTGAATCATCAAATTAGAAAAGCCATTTTCTCCAAACTCCGAACTCAATCAAACTATACCGAACTAACAAAGTGCCAAATTGACCTAAAAAAAGAAATAAAATTCGCTGAATCAAAGCTCACTCCACTAACAACTCCAACGACAAAATCACACAACAAAAATTCAAACATCGCATTAAATTAGAACTTTCTTTTCTTAACCTCAACACACGTTTCGACTCAGTAAAATCACTTCAACTGCCAGCACAACCACCATTTCAACTGCAACAACGAAAGCAGTTTTAGAGAGAGAAGCTAGAGAGAGAATGAGAACTAACTGAGAAAGGTCACCGAGCTGGCGCAAGACGCCGACAATTCCGGCCATGGCAACGGCTTCGAGAAGAGCTTCGGAATCATCCTTGTCGGCGGCACGTTGCAGCTCCGGATCCGCCAAGCTGTGCGCGCTCCGAATGTGACACCTCGAGATTGGCATTGTTCGGATTTTAGCTATCTCGAAACCCTAATTTTGCTCCAATCTCTGTGTGGTGGTTACGTTCTTCGATCATCGTTCCGGCGACGCTGCGTCTTCTGTTCGTTCCACCATGGAAATGGAAGAGAGAGAAAGGAGAGAGAAAAGAAAGAGAGAGGGAGAGAGAGAGTTTTCTTTTTCTTTTTCTTTTTTGTTTTAACAAAATGAAATTGAATGAATAACATATATAGTAAGGTGGAGTGCGTGTCAGTTATAAACGTGAAGATAGTGACTGAGCGAGTTAGTTATTTATTATTATTTATATATTCATACATTCGACCAATAAGTCCAATATAATAAAATGGTGTGTTGTTTGTCATTTTAAATGACATAAGTTATGTTATTTTATGAGAGAGATAGACACAGAAAAACAGAAATCATGGGAGAGAGAAAGTGGGTAGTTTTTTTAATTTAAAATTCAAATTTTCTGTGTCTGTATCTCTCTTAAAATGACATAACTTTATGTCATTTAAAATGATAAACACTTTTCCTAAATAAAAATATATAATAAATATGGAATTTTGTTAAAAAGGTTATATTTCTCTTAACTTCGTATAAAAAAAGTCAAATTTCTAACCACACAAAATAAACGTAGGTTGTATATCTATTTTTTATCTTCTTTTTTTGTCTATAGATCTCACCTGTAGTATTATCTCTGTTATATGAGATAATTTTTCTTATGTAGCATGAGAAAATGATTTCCCTTATTAAAATAGGACAAGATATACTTGTTACTATAAAAATTTATCATATTTATAACCAATTTAATTATCATTGATTTTTGTCAATCTAATGATTATAATTATTAAATTTATTAATAATTAATTAATAAGAGCAAGTCAATAATTTCTAATAAATTATAACTGTTAAATTGACAGGAATTAACGGTGATTAGATTAGTTGGTTGTAGATTAGATTGGTTGGTTATAAGGATGATAAATATTTGTGATGATAAATATATCTTTCTCTTATTAAAATTGTCTAAAATAAAATCTAACTTGTTTACCGAAAAAAAACATCTAACCTTTTTTTTATAAATATCAATGTCCGAAATCCTAATGGCCTTACTAGTTCAATTTCGAGTCTGAGCATCTAACTTTTCTCACGGATTGCAACTATTGGGAATCGAATATATTAATGGGATATCACTATACCAACAATTCTTTTTCTAACTTTTATTTTTAGTTGATTCCTTTTTTTACTTTTCGTCTCTAAATGTATCTTAACAAAATTATTGAATCTTGTAAAATTTTAAAGTTGAACTTGTTGATTCTGCTATAAATTAAAACTATTTATAGCTATAAAAAAAACTATTTACATAAAATTTGTTTGTGCATCTTTGTATATTCATAACCGTCTGTTTGTGTCTGTTTAAGAAAACACTATTTTTTAATTAAATATGTTTAATAGATTTTAAAATAATCGGACAAAATCTTAAAGAAAACAGTTTTGGTATTTTTATAGAAGGAAAAAATAATTTTTAAAATAAAAATATTTTTTTAAACTAAAATATATATTAAAAAATGCATTACAAGAATATTCTTTCTGAAGTTATTGAAATATATGTTCAATTTAAAAAATAGATTTGGCAAAAAAAATCATATTATATAAGTTATAAAAAATGAAGGAGTTTATACTTATAATCTTTTTTCTTTAAAATCCCTAACAACCACTCTTATAATTGTTAGATCAAAATTAAATTGACAATTACAAAATAACATTAAGTAAGAGCTAACAGTTACAAAATGATATTAAGTAAGAGCTATTTATTTGATTTTGATCCAATAATTATAAAAGTGGTTCTTCACTTCTTCGTCCTGTGTATGAAAAATATTTTGTTAGTAAAAGCAAAACTCACTTTGATAATCTCTACCTATCTAGCACCGATACTGACACGGGACACGTGACACGATACGACACGACACTCCGACACGTTAATTTTATAAAATGTTAGATTTCGACACATTAGGACACGTTTTGATATTAAATAATATTTTTAATATATGTAGTGTATATCATATTTAATATTCAATAATTTAACAAAAAAATAAAACTAAACTTATAATATTCATCAATTTTACAAAGAAATATAAGATATCCCAAATATTTATATTAAACTCAATAATATGGTAATCGTAATCCAACGAATCTAATAGTTAGAACTAAAAACTCAATGCAACGCAACCTTTTAATCTTTTTTGAATTTCTATAACACGTGTTAGAGTGTCGGAGTGTCGGAGAGTGTCGAGAAGTGTCGGACACGACACGTCAGGGTTTCTGAAGTGTCGGTGCTTCATAGATCTCTACGTCTCGAAAAGGATCAATTAATGGTCGTCGGTTAAGAGATACTTTGAGGAAACTCAAAAAAAATAGTGCTAAGAGATTAAAAAAAAGTATAACTTCCTTTAAAATAAATAACAAAATAATTTTTGTTTGTTGTTAGAATTAAAATAATCACAAAATTATATTTAAAAACTAAATTTACTTGACCAGCAGTTTAAAAGAAAAAAACAAACAAATTTACCACAACAAAATTGTGTGCAATAATAAACGAATCTTTCTCTCAAACAAAAATAATAAGTTTAACATTTTAAAAAAAATCTTAAACACCTCAATAACTAAGGAATCAACCTCATAATATGATGATCAAATAAAAAAAAAATCAATTGACTTATATAATGATATTAGAAAATCTAACTACACCCAATTCAATGAATTTAAACTTTATAATGCAACCATCCATACTTTTTCACTCTAATAAGAAATTTTGAAAAAAAATCATGAAATTGCCTAATGAACAAATCAATTCCGCTTTCGAATTACTCACTTCATATAAAATATTTGTGAATAGTTAAATTATTTATAAATTATGCGTTTTGACTTCATTTGTATTCAAATGTAAACTTTATTTTAAAAAAAAATGAGAGGGTGGTTTAAAGGCGCGCATTGTGGCGGTGATGATGCTGTGGTCGGTATTGGATCGTGTTACTTTTGGATTTGGTTATAAAATAATAAATTTATAATATAATTATGAATAAATATTTTTTAAGCACGAGAAGAGAGAAGAAGTGATTAGTGAATAGCTGGTTTCAGATAACCAAGACTAATCTTGACTTACTGTTAAGATCAGACATTAATTCCTTTACACACCTGAGATTTTTTTTACCAATATACGTCTTAAAATAAATATGTTGGTGTTATCAAAAAAAAAATAATATGTTGGAGCGAGTGTACCTGAACATAATGAGACATTAAGAGTCTATTTGACAATTTTTTTTTTAAGTTAAAAGTTATTTTTTAAGTTAAAACTAAAAATAAAAATAAAAAATAAAGTTAAAAGTCGTTTGATGATTATATAAGATTTTTAACTTAAAAATTATTTAAAAGCTGTTTATTTAAAAAAAAATCTATTTATCATATAAAAAAAAAGCTAATATAACTTAAAAAATTTCTTGTATGAATTTTTGGCTTTTGATTTTTTTATTATAAAAGAAAATTCTTTTTATTATAAAAAATTTTGTAAAAATTTATTTGACCTAGCTTATGTTAATAAGGAGAAGAGATGCTAAAAAAAATCTCCTAAATGGGTACTAAAATTGATAAATATCTTCGGTACTTTCATAATACAAAAGATTGGATACATTTTTTTACTAAATTTGAGAAAAAGAATGTAACTAACTTTTTTCATTTTACTAGTCCTTCATGTATATATATATATGTGTGTGGCAAAGTAATTTTTCTATTGCAAGAGTTCTTATCTTCTATCGTAGAGTAAAATAATTACATGGGATCCACTTATGACACAAAGAAGAAAAGAAAAAATATTTGGCACAAAAACCGAACTATCAGTAGGAGATTTTTTTCTTTTCTGCCGCATAAGACTAGTTTATCCCATATATATATATATATATATATATATATATACACTTTATTTGTTTCCCCATAAGACTTGGTGTGTGAATAGCAAAAGGAGACAATGTCGGGTATAGCTGATCGTGACTCTAATTTATTATTCTAGACCTCACCTTGTCATGTTCCAACTAAGAAGATATTATTCAAATTTCTAAAACGTGTTAGTAATTGGACGCAAAATTCTCGAAATACATTTGAGAGTGAGCTTCAAAATGTAAATTAGATGCAAACTAAACTTGCTTAATAATAGATAATTGAAGGGATAAATTACAACAATTGAAATTTCAATTTAAATAATTTACAACAATTTTATTACCAACAAAAATAAGATCAAAGTAAATCATAACAATAAAAAAATTATAAAAAAAAATTAATACCATTGGAATTTCAAAAAGATACAGTAACTATTAAATAAATTTGAATTATATATCCTGTTATTTTTAAAATTTTATGGGTAAATAAATTATGGAGATTTCTATTTTTAACAAATCACTAATACCTTAAATAATTAATGTTTGATATTTAACTACATGTCTCCCTCACATACTTAAAATAAATAAATAAAAAATTATAATGTAGGCATTACCTTCACAAATCACAGATTTAATAACTATGATTACTGAAAGAGACGCGTTTGTTAAGGAAGAGCTTTTGAAAATGTCGTTTGATCAGACAAGGGTATTCGGCGCCCGCGTGGAACCCACACCAGAGTCTTGGATAGAACGATGAAAATCAATTTGTTATATTAATTACGCTTTAATATTTTAAAAGTGAACGTAGATAAATTATTTATATTTATTTTTAAAATAATATTACTTTGAGTTGAAAAATTAAAAAATTATAATAAAAAATTATTATAACCCTGACATAAATTATAATTATAAAATTATTTTGATTTCTCTTTTAAAATGACGTCGTTTTGGATTCAATGTAGATAAGTTATCTACATTAATTATAGAAAAAATGAACCCTATTAATTATTATCACTCAAAATTTTATATATATATATATATATATATATATATATATATATATATATATATTGAACTTAATAATTATTATGAGAAAATAATTATGAACAATAAACATGTTAAGCATTTGATATTGAGAGTAACCAGATTTCAAAAATATCTTATGTTACTTTAGCTAAGTCTTCCATGATTGAAGTGAAATATAATTAGTTTTCATTAACTCGCTTTATATACATGCACTTAAA